AGGTATTTTATCATTTTCCGTGTGATTTCTTCTTTGGCCTCTTGGTTGTTTAAGAGTATTTGATTCCCACATACTTGTGAATTTTGCAGGTTACTTCCTGTTGATTTCCAGTTTCATTCCAAGTAGAATAAGTACTTTGATTCTAATCTTTAAAATATTTATTAAGACTTGTTTTGTGGCCTAACATACATTTTATCTTGGAGAATGTTCCACTTATGCTTGAGAAAAATTACGTATCTTAAGTGTTGTTAGATGAATATTCTCTTAATGTCTCTGAGGTCCCATTGGTTTTTATTATTCAAGTCCTCGATCCCTTATTGATCTAGCTGTTTTATCCATTATCCAAAGTGTAGAATTGAAGTCTCCAACTATTATCATAGAAGTGTCTGTTTCTCCCTCCAGTTCTGTGTTTTCTTCATGTATTTTGGAGCTCTGATGTTTGGCGTATATAGGCTTGTAATTGTTGCTTCTTCTTGGTAAATTAACGTGTTTATCAATACATAATGTCCTCCTCTATGTCTGTTTTTGACTTAAAAGTCTATTTTGTCTGATAGTAGAATAACCACCTCAGCTTTCTCGGTTATTTCATGGAATACCTTTTCCCATTCTTTCAACCTATTTGTGTCTTGATATCTGATAGAAAATCTTTGGTAGACAATATATAGTTGGAACAGGATTTTGTCCATTCTGCCACCTATGCCTTTTGATTGGGGAGTTTAAACCATTTACATTTAAGATATTTACCGATGAAGAAGGACTTACTTTTGCCATTTTGTTTTCTTGATGTCTTACAGCTTTTTTGTCCCTCCTTTTCCCCATTACTGCCTGCCCTTGTGTTTGATTTTTTTGTAGCACACATTTGATCACCTCACTTCCTTCTGTGTGTAAATATTTTGGGTTTTTTGTTTGTTTTTTGCAGTTAGCATAATACATATACCATCTTAAAGTTAAGCAATTTATTTTAAATTGATACCAGCTTCAGTCATATATACAAACTCTTGTAGATCTCTGTCCCCCCACCCCACTTTGATGTCACAGATGACATATTGATACATTATATACCCATTAATGTGTGTAATTCATATGCATGTCTTTTAAATCCTACAGAGTATAATGGAATTACAAACCAAAATTAAAGTAATATTGCTTTGTATATTTGCCTTTATGTTTACCTTTGCTGGAGATTGTCACATCTTCATATGACCTGGAGTTACTGTCTGGCTTCTTTTCCCTTCAACCTGACAGACTCCCTCTAGCATTTCCCGTAAGCCAGACCCAGTGCTAATGAGTCCTCTCTGCTTCTGTTTATCTGGGAGTACCTTCATTTCTCCCTCGTTTTTGAAGAACAGTTTTGCCGGATAAAGAATTCTCAGTTGACAGGTTTGTCTTCTAGTCCTTTACATCATTTCTTTCCTTGCTTACCGGCCTCCAAGGCTTCTCCTGAGAAATCAGCCGAGCATCTTACAGAGAATTTCTTGTAACAAGTCAGTTTTCTCTTGCTGCTTTTAAGAGTCTTTGTTTTTGGCTTTTGACAGTTTGGTTATAATGTGTCCCAATATGGTTCTTTTGGGGTTTATTTGGAGTTGTTTAGCTTCTTGGTTTTATAGATTTAGGTCTTTCTTCAAGTGATGGCCGTTTAGGGCTATTTCTTCAAATAGCCTCTGCCCCTTTCTCGACAGGACTCTGATAATGCATATATTGGTCCCTTTGATAATGTCCTGTAAGTCCCTCAGGCTCTTGTCACTTTTCTTCATGTCTTTTTTCTTTCGCCTCCTCAGACTTGAGAATTTCAAATGCCCTGTCTTCTGACTTGTTGATTTTTTTTTTCTTCCACCTGCTTACAGCTGCTGTTGAATCTCTCTAGTGAATTTTTCAAATCTTTCTTTGTATTTTTCAGCTCCAGAATTCTACTTGGGTCCTTTTTATAATTTCTTTCTCTTTTTGCTATTCTTATTTGGTTCCTATATCAGTTTCCTGATTTCCTTTAGCCCTTTGTCGTGTTTTCCTTTAGCTCTTTGAGCATCTGTAAGATGGCTATTTTACAGTCTTTGTTTAGTAAGTCCAGTGCCTGTGTTCTTCAGGGGTGGCCTCTGCTGGCTTATTTTCTTCTTTTGGATAGGCTGTTCTCTCCTGTTTCTTTGGCCTTATGTTGAAAATTGTACATGGGGGTGGGGGGAACGACCCACCTCTCACAGTCTTTGTTCTGGTCGGGGGCGGGGGGTGGGGTAGAGGGAACATATCTTTCAGTCTTTGCAGTTTGCTTTGTGCCGGGGAAGTCCTTCACTAATGAGCCAGGCTCTCTCCAAGCTGCAGGATTAGCCCCATGTGAAGGCAGCAGTTCACCTCACGTCGTTTCTGCACAAGTCGTTCCTGGGCCCATGTGTGGCCCTCTCAGTTCTGCTGCATATGCAGCTGCTTTTGAATGTGTACTGTCCAAGTCCTCCCAGCTTCTCCTTGGGGCCTTACACTACTGGAGGTCTCCATCCATAACGTCTTGCCCCCAGCATCTGTGGGTCTGTAAACCCCATGCACTTTCCCAAGCACCAGCCATTGATTTTGCACTAGAGAGCGGAGTTAGGTGAAACAGAGACCAGCCCTTTGGGCGGCCGTCAGACGGGTTAGAATTTTGCAAATAAGATTAGCTCTAGTCCCTCCAGTTCAAGGGAAGCAGCTGGGAATAGGGTTGCTGTTTCCAGACCAAGACTGTGCCGGGGCTGCAGAGTGGGGGGGGAGGTCAAGGGTGAGTCAAGACACCATGATGTTTTCTACCATTTTGAATCTCATGGGAAAACCGTCTCCAGCAGAGCCTAAGGGCCCTGGAAGAAGTTCCACGCACCTGTCACACTGGGCCCAAGAGGACCTGGAGTATGAGGGTCTCTCTGATCTCCAGTGGGCCAGCCACTCCCGTGTGCAGGCAGAGAGGGCAGCAGGGACAGAACGGGCACTGGAGCCACAGAAGCTGTGGCTGCCTTGGCTGCCTTGAGAGCGGGTTCGGTGTCCGGCAGAGCCCGAGAGAGAATGTCAGGAGAGCCCCCCCGCCCCGGGGCCCAGCTCCCCGAGCCAGACAGCCCCGTCAGGCCGTGAACCTGAGGCTCTACCCGCTCTGCCTGCTCCTTCCCGGACACGCGGCACCAGGCGCGTCGGGACAGCTGCCAGCCTGCGGCCTGACGCAGACCTTTCCCCAGCCAGCAGACGCCGACCCTTGCTGGCGGGCCCTCCCGCCCCCGCCCCCGCCCCCGCCCCCCAGCCCGCCCTCTGCAGCGCCCGGAGCAGCCTCGGCTCGTGGCGCTGCCGGGAGCGCCGGCCTCCTCCTGGGCCCCGCTCCCGGGCCCGCTCCCGGCAGCATCCGCAGCAGCCTCGGCGCCTCTCGGGAGTGCTGGGCCCCGTCCCTTCCGAGGAGCGTCCAGCGGAGAGCTGGGGGAGTGACCCCCTTCCAGGGAAAGTGTGGGGCGCCCTTCTCGCCGGCCCTGGGGGCTCAGAGCCGCCCGTGTGCAGAGCAGCGAGGCCGGCGATGGCCCGGTGTCCGCAGAGACCGCGGGACAGGAAGCTGCTCCCGGCCAGTGGTCAGGGAGGGTTGTGCGGCGAGGGCCAGGGCCGCGGTTTGCCCCCGGGACCAGTGCAAGGGCAAGAGTGGCGCGGTGGGCACCAGCTCCCCGCCCCGGGAGGAGTTTTCTTTCTTTGGTCTTGCGGAACACCTGAGCCCTCGGCCTCGCCGGCCGCTCCCGGGCCCGCCCTCTGTTCGGAGCAGCCCTGCCACCCAGCCCCCACCGCCGGGCACCCTCGGCCCTGGGGTCTCGCTGCACGTGCTCCCACCAGCAGGTCCTGCGGCGAAGGCCGTGCCAGGTCACTGTGCCCGCTCTCCCCGCTGCACCCCTACGGCGCCCCTGCGCGCGCCCTCCCTGCGGCCCCTCCCTCCGTGTCGAGCAGCCCCTGCGCTCTCCTTCCTCGCCTCACCTGGCCCGGCCGCCGGCACCCCAGGCTCTGGCGAGCTGCTCGGACGGCCGGGAATGACGACCCAGGTGCCCGAACCTGGGGGGGGGGGGGCACGCCCCAGTGCCTTCGGTCACCAGCCCCCTCACGTTTCCTTTTGAGCTGCCCCGGAGCCCGTGCCCCCCCCCCCCCGACCCCATGTGACCGGTGACTCTCGTGCCTCACTGCGGACATCCCCTCACCCTTTCTCCAGGACACTTTGGTGAAAGCAAGACTTTTTTTTTTAAGATTTTATTATTTGACAGAGAGAGACACAGCGAGAAAAGGAACACAAGCAGGGGGGGTGGCAGAGGGAGAAGCAGGCTTCCCGCCGAGCAGGGAGCCCAATGCGGGGCTCGATCCCAGGACCCTGGGATCATGACCTGAGCCGAAGGCAGTCGCTTAACCAACTGAGCCACCCAGGTGCCCCAAGACCTTATTTTTAAAAAGGAGCTCCCTTATCTCTTCAAGATAAAATTAAGATCCTGGGGAAAAAGGCAGATTTATTTTCGTTTTTTTTGCAAAGCTCTCTGGAATCCTAAAGACAGTCTGGAAGAGTCTGACTGAAGGACATAAAAACTGCTCGTCTCAGAGCTTCCCCCCCCCCCCCCCAAGGATCTCAAGGGTGTTTAGAACTTTTTCAAATAAGGTAACGGACTTGGAAGTGAGAAGCAGCCCCTCGATTCTTCTTTGTGAAGCGGCGCTTTCTTTCCCACCCTTGCGGGCCTGGCGCTGGAAACGCTTGCGGGGTAGGGGGGCCGGGGTGTGACGAGCAGCCGAGCGTGTTCGCGGGCTACACAGGCTGCTTGGGATCACAAGCTTCGGCAAGAAGCTTCCAGGTGTCGGAAAAGAGAGCTGGGCAGGGGGTCATCAGGCCCCCCTGGCACGGAGCCGCCCCACTCCGGGCACACTTGCTGTCTGGGGCAGAGCCGGGTCTTCGGCTCGAGCGGTGGTCACTGCTCCCCACGAGCTCCCGGGTGAGCAGAGCCAGCTACTGGAGTCTCCTAATTCGGGCATTTTCTGCTTTACAGACTGATGAGGAGAAGCGGCAGGACTTACCTGTGGTGATGCCAGTTTTTGACAGAAACACCTGCAGCATCCCCAAATCCCAGATCTCCTTCATTGACTACTTCATCACAGACATGTTCGATGCCTGGGATGGTAAGGCCTCTCCCAGAATGAAAGGGGCAGCCGCATGTTAATAGTGTAGCTGGCTCTAGAGTGGGTTTGGGGGCTTCGACTCTCAAGGAGGACTAAGGAGGAGAACTCTGCCTTCCTCGAGGACCCCCGAAGCCTGGGTGCCCTTCCTGCCCCCTCCCCTGCTCACGGCTTCAGCCACCCCAGCCCTGCGTGCTTCCTGGCTCGTGGCTTTTCCCCCCACCCCCTGCCCGCGAGGACGTGGTGTAAGTGAAGCCCGTGTGGAGTCAGAAGCTGGGGGGGCGGGGGCGGAGAGCCGGTCAGGGCCATCGGTGGGGGGCTCACTGCCTTCCCAACAGCCCCTCCCCCCAGGAGCTGATGAAATGCTCAAGCAGATTCACTCCCCTCTGGCACCTGCCGGCGTTGTCAGCTCCCGTGAGCCTGGGCTCACTGCACCTGCACGGTGGGTGCGTTTGTGTGGCAGGACGCAGGTGTTTGCCGCCACGGACCCTTCCTCAAAATACCCTCTCCTTAGGCAGCCCGGGCTTCTCATCTGAGACTGGGAAGGAGGTCACATTCCTGTCCTTTTTGTCCAGCCTTTGTAGACCTGCCTGAGTTAATGCAGCATCTTGACAACAACTTTAAATACTGGAAAGGACTGGATGAAATGAAGCTGCGGAGCCTCCGACCGCCCCCGGAATAGTGCGTCACACCGCCTGGGCCCCGAAGCTTTGTCCTTCCACTCATTTGGAATTCCTGAGGGCAGCCAGGGTTCCTGGATCCTTTCAGTATTAGGCAGAACAGTGCCCAGGTCTGCAGAGCCTGTGAAAGCACACGGGGCATCGATGACCTTCTGCAGCCACCATCCGATGCCATTGCCGCAAAGTGCGACCCAGTCCGCCATATTGGGCGTGCAGCAGGGGCTCTCTAGGAAAGTCACAGGAGAACCAGTTTGCACTAACTTTCCTTATCATGAGCTCAGAGGGACCCTCCAAAGGACACTGATGGATTTCCTCCCAGTGACAGAGAATGTCTTGTTGCAAACAATTTCTCTCAACTGTGTCCAGCACTTACAAACAGCTCATGGCAATCGGAGCTTTAGGAACTTTTTCACATCATAGAAGGTGCAATCACTCACTTTGGAACACTACTGAAAGTGACTTCTCTTTTGAAACTGAGTAGCAAATGAAAAATACAAAAATTTTGAAGTTGATTATTAAATACAAAGAAATTTTGAAGTTGATTAATATCAATTATTAAAATGTTTTATTTATTTTATTAGAAGTTCAATATTTTCTATGAATTTTGAAATACTTCAAAGCCAAAGCCAACTTTAAATGCCATGACCAAATTTACATAATTCATATTCATTAAATATGTATTACGTGGTGTACAGACTTATTTTCATAATGCAAATTAAAACTATAAAATGACACATTTTTACTGCACTACAGAAATATTTGTGTATGTTAGACTCTTTTCTGATTGATGCTAGTTGGGAAAAGCGGTCTTTGGGAGGCTCCGAGTGTAAAGCCCTCCAGGAGAGCACCTCCTCCGTCCAGGAAGCAGAGTTCTGAAACTCTGGTCATCTGATGGGCTTTGCCAGTGACTCCCCAAAGTCAACGAAACTCAGACCTAACACCTTTTTCCTAAAATAATTGAATTCCCAAAAATCTGCCTTATTTTATAGTGTTTCTACAAGATACTCCCTATGAAAGAACAAAAATGGACTGTTTAGTGAGCTGACATTTTATAACCAATCTGTTTTCATCTGAGGTGGGAATCTTTGATTCCAGAAATTTATAAAGTTCTGTATCTTCATGTTTTGAATACGTGTAGTACCGTAAAAAATGACACATGATAATATGTCAAAGTGCTTGTCATTTCATTTTAAAGTTGTATTTTTCCCCAGATAAAAATGAAATTAAACTATTTGTTTTTAAGAAATCATGTGTCACCTTTTCACTGGAGTCTTCTAATACTTAAAATAAGATACCTTTATATTACAGAGAAGATTAACAGTTAAATGACTTTTTCAAGGTCACAAAAAGACAGATGATTATGTTGAAAACTTCTCACTGCTTGGTACCCATTTAAAGCTGTCAGGGCTGGCTCCTCAGGAGTCCCTTTTTCTAAGGAAACAAAGACCCCTCTTCCTGTGTGAAGACATTTGACCTAGCTTGGTCATTGTAGACCAAAGTGGGAGAAAGCCCTCTCCTCTCCTCTCCGTGCCAGGAAAGAAAAGGAAATGACTTCCATGAGCAACTCAACCATCATGAAGTAGAGAGAGCAGTGCATGCGATATCTAGAATCTGCACCGCCCAGACCACCACAATAATCCAAAAGAGACTTTAAGAAGAGTATGCCTAACATGTTTCAAGAGAGAAAAGCAGCAATAGAAACCATAAGGTAAACCAAGGTAGTTTTAAAAATAGGTAGATTTGAGAAAGAATCTAATAGACATTCTAGATATGAAGAATATAGTCATTGAAACAAACAGAAAACTCCTGCAGAGATTTAACAGAAGGCCGGACGTAAGAGAGAAGTGGTAAACTGGAAGACTTGAAGTTCCAGCCCAGCAGCACAGAGGTTTTAAATTAAAGCAAAATTAAAATACAGAAGGTTGAATGAAATGCTTCAAAATATGTCTAACTTAGGAGATCCAGAATAAGTGGGAGAGGCACTATCCAAAGAAAGCCCGGGAGTCCCTCAGGGTTTGAGAGACACACACCCTCAGATTTAAAGGGTGCACTGAACCCCAAGTAGGAAAACAAAGCCCATCTACACAACATAATGTGGAGCTCCAAGAGGAAAACCTAACAGTTGTGAGAAGAGACTGGTCACTTACAAGGGAACTAGTGTTGGACTGCTGTCAGACTTCTCAGTGACCGCAGCCAGAAGACTAAGGAATAACCTCTTCAAAATATGCAAGGAAACTGTCAGCCTAGAATCACATACCCAACTAAACTATCAAGAGTGAAGTTGCGGAGTACAATTTTAGACATGCACAGAGTTAATTATAAACAGACTCCTGTGGAAAGAAATGTTGAAAGATATACTTCTATAAAATGAGTCCAGAAGAAAGAGGTAGGTTATGAAAGCAACAGTAAACAAAGAAGTTGGTAAATATCTGGGCAAGGCTAAGTAAGTATACTGAGTGGGGCAAAAATAATAGTGATGTATCATCAGGAAGGGGCAGGTATATAAGAGGATAAGTTAAATGTTGCGGAGGACAAAAGAGATGTTTATTATAGACTTTCAATATGATTACCTAAAAGTTAAGGGAAATTGTCAAAGGAATAAAAGAATATTGAATTTAAAAGCACTAAAAGCTAAGTGAAGAAATAAAATGTAACAGGACAAATCTGGGTGGCTCAGTCAGTTGAACGTCAGACTTGGTTTCAGCTCAGGTCATGATCTCGGGTCATGAGATCAAGCCCTGCATCAGGCTCTGTGCTCAGTGCAGAGTCTGCTTGAGATTCTCCCTCTGCCCCTTCCCCCCACTTGCACATTCTCTCACGCACTCTCAAGTAAATCTTTTTAAAAAATTAAAAAAAAAAAGAAAATGTACCTAATGCAACCTGTAAGAAATAAATGGAAAAATAAACTATGAATAAGACAATGACAGAAATAAGTACAAATATAAGCACACAGCATCTACTAATCAATACTAGATTAAAGATCTGTAGGTGAAAAATTACCTGTTGACATGGGACTATGGAAACATTCCTAAAAGGACACCAAGGCCTTTAGAAAGCACACAAATAAATTATCTACAAGTTAAAAATTCTATATGACAAAATACATAAGTCATGCTAGAAACCATGCCACGGATGAGGAATGACCTACAGAAGTAACAAATTCATATGCAAAATATGTAAAGAATGCCTAGAAGTCTGTAAGGGCAAAAAACCAAAGTATTTTATACCCTTCAGATTAACAAGTTTTTAGCATCTGACAATACCAAGTGTTGATGAGAGGATGAGAAAATGTGAACTTTCAAACTTCCGTGTAGGAAGGTAAGAACCACAGTGGAAAGCAATTTGGAAATATCCACTAAAGTTCCTCAATTCAGCAATTTTACTTCTAGATCCTAGAGAAATTTGCCAGTGTGCACAAAATGATGTATTTAAGGATCATCACACAGGATTTTGTCACAGTGAAAAAGTAGCAACAGTCTAAATGTCCTTAGGAGTAGAATGGATAAAGAGATTGTGACTTCATACTCAGACTGTGGTATATTGTGGTAGACCATATCTCCCAATGGTCCCTGCCTCCTGGTATCCACAACTTTGGGATGGACCTAGTAGTTTGCTTCTAACCAATAATGTATGGCAAAAATGATGGTGTGACACTTCCAAGATGTGGCTACAAAAGATAATATGCTCATTTCCTAGGGCTGCCCTAACAAGTGACCACAAATGGGTAGCTTAAAACAGCAGAAATTTATTTTCTCATAGTTCTGGCGACCAGAAATCTGCGATCAAGCTGTCGACAAAGTGGTTCCCTATGTAAGTTCTAAGGGTGGAACCATCCCATGCCTTTCTCCTAGCTCTTGGTAATTGCCAGCAATCCTTAGCATTTCTTGGCTAAGTAGATGCATCCTTCCAATTTCTGCCTCCGTCTTCATGTGGCCTCTATGTATCTGTATGACATCTCATAAGGACACCAGTCATTTAGGGCCCACTCGGATTTCAAACATTCCAGCTCACAATCCTTAATTAATTCCATCTGCAAAGACTCTCTTTCCAAATAAGGCCCCATCCTGGGGTTCTAGGGGATCTGAATTTTGGTGAATACTTCAACCCATTACAGATAGTGATATCCATCTTACTCACACCCTCTTGTTCTTATTTGCTTGCTCTGATGAGGCAAGCTACTCTGTTGTGAGCTGCTCCTTGGAGAAGCCCACGTGGCAAGAAAGTGAGGGTATCCTCTAGCCCACAACCATGATGCAAAGGAGTCATGCTGCCAGCAACAACACGAGTGTGTTGGAAGCAGATTCTGCCACAGCGGGCCTTCAGATGGGAACGCAGCCCAGCAGACACTTTGATTACAGCCTTAGGAGAGACCCCGAGCCAGACAACTAGGGATCCACACTTGGGTCGTACCCACAGAAATCCAGATACTCAATGTTTTGTTAAGCCAGCCAACTTTAACGTACTGCACACTAACAAATAACTGATACGTGTACTATGCACAGCAGTTAAAAAGAATGAAGTAGAGTACAGATGTCAACTGGGGAAAAGTGTAAGAACAAGAATGAAAAGGCTAAATTGCAATAGGACACCATGCGCATAAATTTTTTTGAATACCCAAAACAATACCCTGTTGTTCATGGAAAAAGTAATGGTAGGAACATTAAAATGTTGAGGAAGTTTACAAATATGGTGAATTGGCTTGTGCAACACTAAGATCCTGGTGTACACACAAACTAGAGAGCCAAAAGCTGTCCCGCCAAACTCCCTTGCACCGACATTTCCGTATCTAATTTAGGGTCACCTGTCAGATGCAACTGCACAAGATTCTTGATTTAGAAGTGAGACAGAAGGGGAGAGAAGAACACAGAGGCCTACGTTTTGCGCGTCAGAAATGGCTTCCCATGCCAGTGGCTGCAGTGGAGGAGTTCCGACTGTGGTAGAAGCAGGAAGGTTCCGGGGCCACAACAGCGGACTTGGCCACACAGCCCAGCCCAGCCCTGAAGCATGGTTTTAGGGAGACTTTCTGGGAAACTCAGGCAAGACTCTGTTTCTTCAGTCCTTCCACTGATAAATCCCTTCTGCTTCAACTGGCTAGGGGAGGAGGGGGTTCTCTGTTCTCAAAATTAAGGAATCTGACCAAGACCAGAAGGCCACACACCAGCCAACTTCTTGAAAGTGGTTCTTGGGGGCAGGGGAGGGATTTGTACTGGGGAGACATTCAAAGGGAACTATCCTCATTTTATTTTAAAAAGTAAACATCTAGAGCAGATAGCAAAATATTAACATTTATTAATTTTGGTGATGAGTATATGTTTTTTAAAAATATATTACTCCACTTTTTAATATGTTGAAATATTTCATAATTTTTAAAAATGAGATCATGCCTGGTGACAAGGTGGCTAGGAGAATATATTTAAGTAGAGAAAGTCTAAGTAGTGTGCGAAACAGGGAAGCCATATGAAAACAATGATGAAGTCAACTATAAAAAATATATATACCAACCACAGTAATTCAAAAGAAAAGGGAAAGGTTTGTGGTTTATTTGACAAAAAGCTTACTTCCACAATACTGGTTTTTGGAGACGTCTATAAGGAAAAAATTCAGTAGAAAAAAATAGAAACATGATATGAACAGAAAATTCATAGAAAACAGCAGTATAAGAGTTTCTTAAACAAAAGTTTATGCTAAACCTGATAGTAATTGATACAAATTAAACCAATTTGAGATATTTTTCAGCTTTAAGATTAGTAAAGAACAAAAAGTTTGGTAACACAATGTGTTCACAAGGATGTGTGGACACAGACACTCTGACACAGGACAAGTGAGCGTAAATTGGTACGACCTCCATGGAGGGCGATTTTGTCAAATCTATCCGAGTCACAAATCTATGTGCATTGTGACCTAACTACTTCCAAACGTATCTTAAGATATACTCACACATGAGAAATGACACGTATACATAATTATTTACAACAGCCATGCATATAATAGTAAAAGGCTGGAAATAGCTTAAATGTCTATCATTTAAGAAGAGTAAGTAAATATGTGATGGTATGTATGTTCCCACAGTGGATACCATGCAGATATAAATGAGAAGGTTCTTTGTGTTACTTATATGAAGAGATTATAAAGATGTGTTGATAAGTGTGGGGGAAAGCATAACACAAAATTTGTGTGTGTGTAGAGAGAGAGAGCAAGAAAATGAGCACACTAGAATTGTTTAAACGCTAAATAAGCTTAAAATCT